GGTGCACGATATGATTATATTATTATTTATATAAGACTTATTATAACCCAATTTTTAAAGAATTTTTTTTTTTTTGTTTGTTTGTGTGGTGTAAATTTAAAAGTATATTTATTTATTCTCTAATGAGATTTTGACAAGTTAGTTCGTATGTTCAAATATATACGCGCATAGTTATGTTTTTAAAAATTACAAACTATTTTGAGGTTAGCAAAAAAAAAGTTGATAACATATAGAAAAAAGGAAAACGTTCATTTAAGATCAAGTTTTAGTATAAATAAAAATATTCAAACATACAAACGAACGAACTTTAGAATATTTATAAAATCATTACTTCCAAACACGCCATACACATTACCTAACTTAATAAACCCACTTCTTTGACTCAAGTTGAACTATGGTTAAGCCCATTTACCTAATCATCCTACTCCCAGTGGTCAGTGGAGCCGCCTCGTGCGTACTTTTTGGGTTTTGTCTCCAGCAAGCAAGTGGGTTAATCGTGTTCGTGATTAACCCCATTACTTGAAAGAGACGAGGTACGTATTAATGACACACACATCTTGTAAGATTAATTGTGTTTACGTCTAAGATTAAAATTTCTACAAACTATATAATCCGACAGTGTTATCGTAATATCTTCTTGTATTGATTAAAATATTACAATAACACTGTCTTCAAGTATACTGTCATCTCAATAAAGCCGACATTTTATTTATGATTCACGAAAAGACGATGCGTACATGGGCCTCAGAGGATGCATTACAAGGTTATCTCGTACATCAAGAGTTACGCAGAGTACAATTTCATGAAGAGAAGGCGCATTGCAAAAACTAGGGTTTGGTTGAAAAAAAAAAACAACTCTTTGATGAACCAGAGTTGTCATGGCAGACTTGTGAAGGAATACTAAGCTCTGCCACGGCCGAAACCCATGAAAAACAAGGCACCAAGACTCTGAAACTGACAGAAGCTACTCAAGAGAAGTAGAACCCTAGCCCTTTTGAGGAAAACAGCGGGGATACATGATCACTGTAAAACTGACTCAAGTATAAAAGACACATGGAAATAGATAGACCGGAAAAGCTTAAGCCATGGAATGGCTTCAAGCTAAAACACCAGGCACCCGTCACCTGGCAACACAAAAAGACATTTGACAAATGGAAACAAACCCTAAAAGTCCAGAACCCAGTAACTATATTCTCAGGGAAACACGACCATGGAAAAGGCAACTCCCTATGTTGAGAGTCAAAATATCAGTTAACAGATTTCCATTAGTGGGAAACCTGCAAAAAAAGGTAATAGAATGGCTGTGTCTCCCTGGAAAAGGACACTGAGTAAAGGATTACGGAAGACCCATAGCTGATGGACCCAAAAACTACACAAACTGCAAGCTACTCACAAAACCTGACTAAAATTCTGAGGCTTCTTCTTGATTAGATGACCCTTCCTTCGAATGTGCCATGCCAATACCTGGAAGGGACATATAAAATCACTTTCCTCCCCCACTTCAGGAAAGGATGTCACATCTCCATAGCTGCTCCACGAGGAAATCTACTGTGCTGCTGCTGATTGCATTGCAGTGCTGGATATTTAGTCCCAAAAGGGTGAGACCCAATTTTGCAAGGGAAGGCAAGCTCCTGTCCGAAATTCTAGGGCACCCTGCCATGGAGAGGATCTGCAGATTGAGCTGCTTTGCTAAAGCCAAGGCCTCAATCCCAAAATCGGTGATTGCACACTTTGAGACATCAAGGTCACTGAGCAATTGGCAGTTCTTTGCAATAGCAACCAAGCTTGCATCAGTGATGTTTCTACAACCGCTAAGATTGAGCATCTCAAGAGTCCAGCTGTGTTGAGGAGCCAGAGCTGAAACTACCTTGTCAGTCACGTTCACACATCCACTGAGATTAACCTTCAATAGACCAGGCTCACAGCTCTTAACAAGCGGCAGAACCCCAGCATCACTTACTCCATTAAGTCCACATAATTCTATATGTTGCAGCTGAGGACACAACTTCCCCAAGGCAATCAAGCTAGCATCCCCAAATCCAGGGCAATTACGAACACACAATGTGTGCAGGGATTTGCAGGGAGATAACTGGGCCATTTCCAAACTTAGATCTCTAATACCAAAGCAATTCACCAGAGAAATGGCCTTCAGCTTTGCACCACAGTTCAAAAGGGAACCAAAAAGTCCAAATTGAGTGATTCTGTGGCACTCTTCCAATTGCAGGCTCTCTAGTGACCCAGCAGCTTTGGCAAAAGAGACCAATCCATTGTCAGACAAGAATGCACATTTGCGAAGGCAGAATTGTTTTAGATTTGGGGAACCCTTTCCCACAGCTTCAAGTCCCATGTCTGTTACTCCATTGCAAGAAGTAATAGTCAGAGACTTCAGCTTCTGCAGTCCTTGGCCATTACCCATGACCCAGAAGCCCCTTTCGCTCACATTTGGGAGGCCAGTGAGCATAAGATCAGTAACCATCTTGCCATAATGTCCAACAACTGCAAGGGACAAATCGGTAATATTCAACATCTGGAGCTTAACTTTTGTCAGAGAATAGGTGCCTTGAGATAACAGGCCTGCAATTCCTTCATCTCCAACACAAGGACAATTTTTTATTGAAATGGATTTAAGACTCAGGCAGCATCGGGCGATGGCTCGCAGGCTTTCATTCCCGATGTTTGAACAGGACTCAATTGTCAGTTCACTCAAATTTGGGCACTTTGTTGCAACTGCAAGCAAACCCTTGTCTGTAATCGCAGGGCATTGGCAAAGGTCAAGTTTCTCTAGCATCGGACATCCATTAGCAATCTCAGACAGACCAGTGTCACCAACAGATGACAAATTCCACAAAGAGAGAACCTTTAATGAAGGGCAGCCACGGGAAATTGCCCTGAGGCCAAGGTCTGTCACCTTGCTACCAGAATTACTTGCTCGGACGAAAAGCTTGCCCAATCCACCACGGCTGGCAGTCCCAACAGCAATAGCAGCAAGTCTAACATCAGTTGCTTTCTTCCCTTCCAAGCTCCTGGAAAGATATCCATCACCCTCAATATCCAGATCTTCAACCTGAGATGCCACATCACTTTTTTTTCCGGTATTCTTCTCCTTGGTTTTGTCAGCAGCAACATCCAATTCATCTCTTCGCATGCCACTTAAAAGTGTAAGCCATCGCTTGGAAACACAAGCACAGGCACTCCTCTCCTGGCCTCCAGGCAAGCGTCTGAAGACCTCAAAGAGACACTCATCAGGCAGCACTTCAATAAAGGCTCTCTTCTGCTCAGATCCACGGAAAACAATTGGTGCACTGACACGCGATCTCTTGCTTGAAGGGAAGTACACATCCACGCTATGGCCAAGAGACAGAAAGAGGCTAGACTCCTTGTGGTTTGGGTATATTGACCCTCCAGGGAAAAAATCATCATCACCTGAGGACAAAGATCGATGTTATCAATAAGGCTGATGAAATCGACAAAAAGCCTAATCGAAAATTCAATAATATACTGAAATAATTATTTTTTAGCTTGTTACACCAAATTATATACAAAAAACAGTAAAATCGGCTGTTCTTTTTGGAACACTGCCTCTAATCTGCAATATTAATCAGAAATCATCTTTAATATCTATCTTATTAACCAGCTTTCATTCCTAAAATCCAATTTTTTCTATGTAGGGAAGTAATACAGATCTATAGACAAAGAGAATATCTTATCTATAAAAAATAAATCCATCCCAAACAATCACAGAGTTACGAAAGTCAACAGCCATAAAAGTAGGAAAACTACTCAAAAATAATCAAATCGGTCATAAGGCCATGTGATCTAAACATAAATCTACCTTGCAGCCTCAGAGTTTGAAGAATCACAAGAAACCACAAACAGATTCAAGTACAGGGGAAACAATCTACTGATTTCATATATTTCATAAAGAAATGACAATTCTTGACCCCAAATAAGTCTAAAAACCAGAAAATTTGTCAGATCGGTGGTAGGGCTATTGGATCTAAAACACAATCAACCTAGACACTCAGAAAACCGTCTATCTGGAACAGAAGAAGTATACTCTTATATTACTAGGCAACATCAACCTCGTCAAAGGAAAAATCTTCATCAAAAGGCATGAATCTATATTAAACATCGTAGAAAATGAAAAATAAAAATAAACATGTTTTGACTCGAAGCATTCAAAAATAGAAAGTCTATCGAGTATAAACGTAAATAATAACTCACGCAATAATATAACAATCATGAACCACAACTATCAAAATATCAGGAAGATCTACAAGTTATCGAGATAAAATTTCCTTAACGAAACAAACCGACGTGTACAGAGCTTAAAAAAACTCAAAATCACATTATCAAAACATAACATAAATAGATTCAGGTAGAAAATAACAACCATCGAGACGAAAAGAAAAAGGAAAGGGAATCAGGAGCATACCAGTGAATCCAAAGAGCTTTGACATGTTTGCAGCAGAAAAAACCCCGGGAGGTGAGACCTGCTCGATTCCAGAACCAAAAACCCTCCAAAGAGAGCAAAAAGGAGAGAAGCGAAGAGCAAGAAGGCTAACAAGGCAACGTATAAGACTTGAGGAGGACTTGAATGCATGAGAGAGATGAAGGCTAGAAGGACATGAAAACCCTATCAGATAGGGCAAAAAAAGAAGAGAGATCAGGAGGAGAGGAAGGAGAAAGAAATGAAATGAAATGAAATGAAAAAACAACAAAGGTTACAAAAGTATTTGGGTGGTCTTTATGTGTGTGGATATGTGATTCGGTACATGACAATACACGCAAGGAAAAACCCACATGCAATGTATTTGTGCATAGAATTGGAGTTTCCTTGTAATATTCTCTTAACAAAAATTAAAAACCAGATACCGCTTTAGTGGTTTCGGTTTTTGTTTTTGGTTTGGTAGGTGTCCTTTCGCGGTAAATGGCAGGTGTTTGGTTGCTCCAATAAGTTTTGGGCTGTTTGGTTTCACGCACATCGGTTTCCTCGATTATAATAATCCAAGTTATGATTCATTGTATCTCTCTTTATTTAAAATTGAGTTTTTAATAATAGCCATATGGACCCTATGCATATATAATTTATATGTGCTAAAAAGTCTTATATTATGAATTTATGATGGATGGAATCTACGAATTAATAAAAGATGAACACTAGGAATGGACGGTCATAAAAATTTAATAATTATTATGTGTATTGTCTAGATTTTTACCATTAATTATTGACTTTTTCTTCTTAATTGACTCCCTGTCCACCTCTTTTCTTTTTCAAATTAGACCCACTATTTCTTTCAACTCCATTTCCTTTTGGTAAAGTTATTTTAAATTGTAGTCTTTAGGGATTATTATTATTATTATTATCTCAAATATATTCAATTTGGTATTTGATTCTAAAATTAGATTTTTTTTTTTTGAATAATTTTCAGTCTATTTTAATTCAAAAATGGAATCAATTAAAAAAAATTTGTTTTGACAGGAAACGAAGTTACATAATAAACCCACCACCGTGAATTTAATCATTCGTGTATTTTAATTAATATATTTCGCATGTTATTATTAAATTAATGAAATATTTAATTTTTTGTTTAAAAAAGTATTTATCAAGTAATAAATTATTTGATTTCGCCAATTAAAGTGAACATTAAAGCAGCCCCCATCACCCGCACAACTATTGACCGCCACCACTAATTCAAAAGCAAATCATCTTTCACATTTTATATATATATATATATATATATTTTATCCAATAATTTTATTGGAAATTATCTTAAATTTAATCCTCTAATTTGATATAAATAATGTCCAAACTCAATATTATTGAAAAAATATATATATATGTAACACCCAAGTATTTTTAATTTTATTCTTTTTTTTTTTTGTATTAGAATTTTTTAGATTTTAATTTAATTTAATTTAATGAAAATAAAAATAATAATAATGATAAAATTAAGTAAAAATATTATTTGGATTTAATTGAAATTGATTTTGGAAAAAATAGGTGAAATTTTAGATTCTGGAAGTATTTTTGAAAAAAAAATCGGAAATCAGGGGTCAAAATGTAATTTAAAAAAGTTGGGTCACGTCAGCGGCCACGTCAGCAGCCCTGGCCAACCAGGACACGCCGCGTGGCAAGGAAACGCTGACA